TTGGTGGATTATTTTGGAAAGCATTGGGTAGAGTTGGACTTGCTCTCTAAGATCTATTTGTGAAGTATTATGTTGTGTACTGGTTGGACTTGCTACTCTTGCTGAGACCTATTTGTGTTGTATTCTGCACTCTGTTATTGGTTACTGGCAACGAATTTGGGGATTGGTGTTTGCATTACAATTGAAATAAGGCATTTGAAATTGTGAATTTGATGTTTGATGCTCACTGGCTACGTACATGTGAATTGTGGAATGCCTGAAGGGAGCATTTGATGTTTGCATTACAATTGAAATAAGACATGTGAAATATGGTCTATTGGCTACGAATGTGAAATATCTTTCTATAGAGGAATCAATCAAGAGAATACATAAAATGGTAAGCAGATTTTTAAGGAAGTGGATTCATGCATTTTGTAGTTTTTCTTAAATATATTTTAAATGTTATTCATTTATATCATCTTGTTGAGACCAATTTTAATCATCTATTTTTCAGAATCTTGGAAAAGGTAACATTTCTTTTTGGAAGGATATTATGTGTATGACTCGCGCTTACTAAGAATTTCTCGTTGAAAACCAACAATTGCAATGATTTATCCCCATCACGATGAAATTTTCTAAAGATTACTCGGGCCAAGGCTATATACTTGTTGAATACATCAGTTTAGCGCGCGTGCGGCCCAAAACATCTAAGGGCATCACAGACCTGTTATTGCCTCAAACTTTCATGGTCTAAACGACCATAGTCCCTCCAAGAAGCTAGTCGTGGAGGTTGAGCTCTGCATAGTTAGTTAGCAGGCCCCGAGGTCTCGTTCGTTAACGGAATTAACCAGACAAATCGCTCCACCAACTAAGAACGGTCATGCACTACCACCCATAGAATCAAGATTTATTTGAAAATGTAGCTTGGAAAATGAGGGAGCTGATCAATACAAGGTGGTCGGTTGCTGATCACCAAATACTCTCTTTCTATATCTATTACTAAAGTTATATATCATCAATTTCTTTCTTGGGTAAAGGTGGATTGCAGTAAATTAATTTGTTGTAGACTTCTCTCTCCCTCCATGTCACTTTCATTTTTAAAGCTAATTATAATCTATTATCACTAGATGTGTTGAAACTTACTAGTTTGAGACTTCCTTCACAATGCTTGTTTTGTAGATTGGTTAAAGAGAACTTCAATCATCTTTTTTGGGAATTGTGTCAATGGTAGGATATGCATATACAACTTTCTCTATCTCTCTCTTCATGTGTTTAGTAGATATGTTTTAAGATCTAGTTTCATTTTACTGCTTGGCTTTCTTATAGATGTATGCATTATTGAAACTATCTTATGCATTAAAGTGATCAATTTTTTTTGCCTTCTTTGTTTTTGGGCTGGCTTATATATATATATATA